TAAAAAAATGGAAGAGAAGGGATTGTGGCAGGACCATCCTCCCTGGGAGCTGATTCGTCACTCTCTCTCTCACTTTCTCTCCAGTGAGCTCATGCACTCTATAGCAAGAAAACTAATAAAAAACCAAAAACAGCCGATGTGCTGGACTTCAGAACAATTGCAGTAATAAAGAAAAGTTCTTGTTCTATGGTTGGGCATATTTGTGTCATTTTATTTTTGTATCTGACATTTATAACCTTAAAATATATGTAATATTTAATAAAATTAATTATAAGTACAAATTGCAGCGTTTGGCATATAAATTACTGGATATCTGTTCTTGTATACTTGCAAGAAACGTGTGCTTTTTTGGAAAAAAGGTGACTCATAACAAGTTGACCGCGTTTCTTACGTCTGATCTTTTAAATTCCCTCTTCTTAAAGGTTTGTTTTCTCCTCCATTCTCTCTGCCCTGCCGCACCTCGATTTGTAGGAGCGATTTGAAGCACTCTTTGCTGCCTATGATGACCGCGTTACGTTTCAGTCATTTAAGAGCTTCAGAAGAGTCAGGATAAACTTCAGCAACCCCGAAGCAGCGGCGCGCGCGCGGATCGAGCTCCACGACACCGACTTCGGAGGGAAGAAGCTGAGGCTCTACTTCACACAGGTACCGGGTCCGGCCGGGTCTGCTCGTCCGGCTCCACCCAGAGGGGTCCCGCTCTCCCTCTTCTCTCTGAGGGTGTCAGAAGCTCTTGGAAATCAACAGTCCCAACGAACGAATGGTGTCGTCTCCACGCTGCTTTGCAGATACGTCACTGTATCTTCATTCAGCAGTTTGGCCTCCTGTCTTAGGAGATGCCTACTTTAAGGGCTTCATTGTTCTGGCTGCTTCGATCACCCGGGGCTCCGTGAGTGTCAAGCCCTGACACCAAGGTTCGAGAAGCCGTTTCTCCCTCTCAGGAATGGCACTCAGGGAGTGGCGTCCTTGGGAGAATCGTGACAGTGGTGTCACGGGTCATGGTCTGTGTTCACGAGTCACACGAGGAATCCCCGGGGAGGAAGACCGCCAGTGCAGGGGTGGCCGGGGATGGCGAGGAGGGGGTGCGGAACGGGGCGGCAGGCGCTGTGGGACTGGGAAGTCACGGGCGGCCTGTAGGTTACCAAGGCTGGCCCTCCCCAGCATTCTGGTCCTAGGTTAGAGTGGCGTTCTGAGGGACAAGTTTCTTCTCAGAAGAACTGGTTTAAAAGAGCATTACATCTCGGGACCAGCAGTTGGCCTAATGACTATGTCACTGGACTCCCACGTAGTCGACCGTGGTTCGCGTCCTGGACCCGGTGGCTTAAACTCATGCCGGGCGCGGGGTTGCGTGCCCAAGATCCCGAGAGGAGAATGGAGGAGAAGGGATTGCAGCGTGGCCATTCCCCCGGGGGGTGATTTCTCGCTTTCTGTCTCTGTCTTTCTGGCAAGCGCATGCGCCCTATAGCAAAAACCTCTCAAAAATAAATAAATAAATAAATAAATAAATAAATAAATAAAATAAGCATTAGATCTCTACTCATGAGTTAAGGGTACCATTTTATCTTCAACAGGATATCTTTTTCCTTTAATCTTAGCATTCAAATTTTAAAATAAAGTGTGTTGTTTCGCTTTTCAAATGAAAACCTGGCTGAGAGAGGTCTAGGTGTCTCCTGGTAGGGTCTCTTAAGATCAAGCATAAAATGAGACAACCGGGACCAGCAGATGGTGTAATAGTCCTGTCGCTGGGCTCCCATGACCGTGGCTCGAGTCCCAGACCTGGTGACTTGAAACTCAACGCCAGGCACGTGTGTGTGCATGCCCAGAACCTGAGGAGAATGGAAAAGGGATTGCAGCATGGCTGTCCTCTCTCACTTTCTGACTCTGCCTCTCTGGTGAGTGCACATGCCCTGTAGCAAAAATCTAAAAATTTTACAATTAGAAAAAAGATGATCAAGCCTTATCTTTTCCGAAATTGAACTTATTCAGCAGTAGTTAGTGTCTGCTCGTCTGTCCGTCTGTTTTTTATTCGGCTATTATTTTTCAAGCACCTGTTCCGTGTGGCCTCCATGCTGTGCACTGAGAGGGAACAGCAGACCCCCGTCCACCCCCTTGGAGATTATAGACTGGAGAGACTTTTCATTCTCTCTAAAAGTAACAGTGAACGTAAAGATGAACACAGAAAGCAGCCCCGCTTATAGACCGGCCTTCGCCCCTCCTCCCCGCAGGTGCAGACGTCCGGGGAGGCCCGGGTCAAGTCCTACCTGCTGCCCCCGCAGCCAGCGAAGCAGTTCCTCATCTCCCCGCCCGCGTCCCCGCCCGTGGGGTGGAAGCAGAGCGGCGACGCTGTGCCCGTGATCGATTACGACCTGCTCAGCGCCGTCTCCAGACTGGGACCAGGTAGCAGACTTGCGTGTGTCCCGTCTTTTTCCCAAGACACTGTTGCGTTGAAGACCGTGGGCAGCGCTGTGTACCCCGCCAGCAGCGCGGTCAGAGAGGGTCACACGCACCCCGCATGACCGGCTCTGTGGTCTTCGATGTGATGCGGTACAGGGCCATGCCGGTCCCCTGTCATGTGGTCATCGCAGTGGCCGCCACTGGTGTGGCTAGAAGGATTAAGTGAAGCAGACAAAACACCGAGGGACGTAACTGCCCAGGCCCCACTAGGACCTGACGGTGGGGCACTGGCTGCCCCTCCCCAGCCTGTCCAGCACTGAAGGGCAGCTCCTATGGTCCCCCCCTATCCTCGGTTTCCCTTCCTGCAGTTGCTTGTCCGTGGTCAGCTGCGGTCTGAAAATAGTAAGTGGAGAGGCCCAGAAATAAACAGTGGCCGAGTGTTAGACCGCACGCTGTTCTGAGTGGCGTGATGGGCTCTCGCACGGTCCGCTGCACCCCGCCAGGGCCTGCGGCAGCTCCTTCTCCAGCGCACCCGCACCGGTCCACCCCCTGCTGCTCATCGCCCAGCCGGCCCGGTTGTCAGGTCAACAGGGCATAGAGAGCGCTGGGGACATGTCCTGCAGGTGAGGGTCATCTGTACTCGGAGCATGGTGCAGGGAGGTGGCGGTATCCTCTCTCTTCAAAACTCTCTCTCTTTTTTTTAAAATTTCAGAGAGCAAATTGGTACTAGCTAGAGAGAGACAAGGACAAAGCAGCCCCCATGGAGCGTGGCCGTGCTGCGGTCCCTTCTCCATCTCTCCATCCTGTTGGGGTTTAGGACATGCACACACATGTCGCCTGGCTTGTTTTCATGCTGCCAGGGCCAGGATTCAAACTGTAGTTGACCATGTAGGATCCAAATCCCTTAATCACTAGGTTGTAGGGCTGGCCCTCTGAAATTCTTTTTAATTTCTTTCTTTCTTCCTTTCTCTCTCTCTCCCCCCCCCTCTCTCTTTTCCCCTCT